CGACCTAATATATCTTCATATGCTGGAGGTTGAAGACAATGGGGTAAACATAATATATAAAACATATATTTGCATCATGTATTGATGTGTATGAAAAATTGGTTTGTAGCAATAATAGGAATCCCAATATTTTTTTAATGTGGTGAAACGATGAAGAGAGGTAAAAGAGTGAATGTAAAATTTTATGTTAACAAATATAAATTTTAAAATTTGTTGGTAATGCAATGCTCATTGAATATTGATATTGGAAAATTAGGTAAATGCTCATTGAATATTGGAAAATTAGGTAATGCTCATTGAATATTGGAAAATAGGTAATGCTCTTTGAATATTGGAAAATTAGGTATTTCCACTAGCATTGGAAATGACTATTTTGCCCTCACTATTTAGCCTATAAATAGAGAGCAATTTCATTCATTTTGTATTATCCCAAGCAAACATTTGTTTTGAAATACTACTATATTTTGAGTGTTGTTTGAGTTGAGAGAAGAGTAATACCACCAAGTTCACTCTAGTTTTCGGGTGTAGGAATTCTTGGAGAGCCGTGCTAACCTCGGGGGAACGGTCCACCTACTGCAGCGATTACACACATCGGGGCGAATTCGTTTCTAAGGCAGTGGTTTTACCACGACACGGTTATCATTCTGATTGATTATTTTATTTAATATTTTTCAGTCAGTGCAAACGCCTCGTTTTACAGTAGTCTATTTTACCAACAAAATTTATATTAAAATTTTTTAAGACGTGAAAATAAAAGAAAAATAAAGAATATAAAATAAAATGATCTCCCTAAATGTACTTCATCTTGGAACAATCCACCCTCTCCCATCTCAAGCTCAATCATGATCTCCCCTCCTTCCTTCCTTGGCCACAGTCCCCTAATCAGTTTCTTAGCGTATCGCTTGGTTTTTCAGATCAGTTTGCAAGGAAGTTTGAGGAAGAAGAAGATGAAGATCTGGAGAATCAAGCATTGGCTACATCAACATATGACTACGCAGTCAGCCACGAGCATGTTGCAGTCTTCCATGGCCGACTCGACACGATTGTTGGTGGTGGAAGGAGGCACAACAAGGGGAAGGAAGGAGATAAAATGGTTGCACTTGTACTCGCACAAGTCATGCTGTTGTTGTTGTTAAGGAATAAGTTCCTTGTCCTGTTGGGAGGGGAGGTTTAGGTTATTAGCAAAGGCAAAGCAAACGCAGAGACTTTTGCATATGCGGCGAGCGGGGAAGATTTTTGGTATGCACGCTAAGACAACTCTATATTTAGATTCTAAATTAGTCCCCGTTCTTAAAACCTTCTAAATAAATAATTAAAATATCAATATCATATCCATCATGTCGTTCTATTAATTTATCTGTTAATTGGACGTTAGATATCAATTCAAATATAATTTGAAACATATTTAAAATGGGTGTATTGAATCTAAAAGTTTATGCACGAACCAACTTACATCAGTGATTAAAGGAATCATTATTGTATCTAGAGGTTATGAGTTCGAGCACCAGCGACTGCAGCAGGGTGATTGGATGTTCATTGTCAAATGATAAAGAGTATTTAAATACTACGTTGTAATCACCTTAACTTAATAAAAAAAATCTTAAAATTTATGTTTATATATACTATATAAATAATTTGAATATAGCATGTTAAAAAAATTTGTTTAACATGTACAATTTTAAAAAGGCTCAACATTAAAAAAATACCAAAATTATATCTCTTTTCTTATTTAGGTGCATAAACTTTTTCTCTAGTTAATCTGAGTGTCTAACGTTACAAAAATCATTATTTTAAGTGTCTCGTCTGTGACGACTGTTAAAAAGATCGATTAAATGACAAATGTGACATTTATATATATATATATATATTTTAAAATTTTATTTTTAAAAGAAACTTTAAAAAAATCATATTTTCTTTAAAATTACAAAAAAAAAATCATAATCCTAAGATCTTTAATTTCAAACTTCATTTTCAATCGTCGCCGGTTATTTTCGATCATCTTCGATCACTATTTCTATCGCTGAATACCCACTAACCGGTCATCACCTTTGTTGCTATTTCAAACCTTTAAGTCTATAACCCTAATTTAATCCCTAAATTTAATGAGCGGAGGGCTTTGGGTTCATTCATACGGGAGGGAGGGGACGTATGGGAGCGTGGGAGGGGAGGGGTGAGTGAATGCAAGTGAATTTGCATTCAACGCAACAAGAAGGAAGAGGGAGGAAAACGCAGGGATTAAAATATATATATATATATATATATATATATATATATATTAAATTAGTATTTTTTAAATACATATATAAATTTCAAGATTAATATTTATTCAAACTCTCGAATTTTTCGAACGAATAATCCAATATTTAAAGCTATATATTTTAATGAACTTAAGTTACAACATTGTTATTATTTATTATTAAGGACCAAGACCCCCAGTTGCCCTGCAGCTACATCCCGACAAATAGGTACAATTTGATTCAATTTTTTTAAGGGTAAACTACATAAATGGCCATGTAACTATGGGCTAGGTCCAAAATGACCATCATTTTCAAAATTGTGCCAATAATACAACTGAACTATTTAAATGAGTTCAAAATAATAGCTCGATGTTAACATTTAATGGAGGTACTTATGTGGCAGTTAAAAAAACTGGTATAATTAGGGAACGGATCCTTAAAAAGTTATGTATTTGTGGCGCTGGCACCATGCTTTGTTTTCTTCCATTTTGGTCACTACTTGTATATGATTTGTTTCCTTGGATTTTCATTTAACCCAATTTGATCCTAGTTTTGTTTTTAATTTGTCTAATGCCTTAATTTGGTTATTAACTTTAAAATCTTTTATTATAATCATGTATTAATTTTGTAGATTAAATCCCCTGGATTTTAGAATTAATCAATTTGATCACCAAGATTAACTTTAATTCTTAATTTTTAATTAGGTCCTAATTTTCATTTAATTTAATAAATTTATTTCTCCAATCAAATTGTGACACGTGTCACAATCTTATGATTATAATTTGAATATTAACTATAATATATATATATATTATCATTAATTATAATATAATATATATATATTATAATTTGAGTATTAAATTATTTTTTAATGATTTCATATATAATCATTAAAAAATAAATTAAAATGAAATGTTCAAATTGAATTTTAAAATTTAATAATATTTATATGATTAATATTTTAATACCTGGATTATGTTCATATCTAATATTCTATTTGAGTATTTCTAAAATTATATATATTTTATATTAATAGAATAAAAAAATTATACAAAATCTTTAGATTTACGGGGATATTTTCTCATACATTTAAGTACTTAATATATTGTTTATTTTGTTCTTTCATTGTTTCTCAAGAAATTCTTTACTTGTTTGAAATACCAAATTTATTTCTTTAACCAGCGACATAAAAGAATCCTATTCCCTTTAATTGTTATTTATATGAAATTGTTTGAACATTGAGTTGTCATTCACTGCTATCGCATAGTATCCTTTACTCACAAAAATACAAATGGAGATGAAAAATGAGAGAGAAATGGAGCATGAGTTCCATGAGCATCTCTTGATTTAATAAAATAAATCTAGTAGTTTATTTATAATTGGTTTAAGATTCTCATGTTTTTAAATTAAATTTATTGTTTTCGTATTTATTTTTTAATGATTATATATATGAAATCATTAAAAAAAATTAATATCAAAATTACAATCATAAGATTGTGACATTTGTCACAATTTGATTGGATAAATAAATTTATTACATTAAATTGAAATTAGGACCTAATTAAAAATTAAGAATTAAAGTTAATCTTGGTGATCAGATTGTAGGCCTGTTTTTTAGATTTTGGTGGTCTTGGATGAACTAAAAAGTTAGACCCTAATCAACAATTTATATTTGTGTTTTCGATCGCGTTGTGTTTATCATTATTGTGAATATATAAAATGATATTGTGGTCACTACAAGTATTGTGATTGTGGATTTTTAATAACATATACAATTGTGGACATAACAATTGTTGATATCGCAGTTTTTGACAATGTCGCTACTACTGCATAACAATCATTTTTGTGGTTACGTTTAAGTAATTATTCATAATAATAAGTGTTGAAAAAAAATTTTTAAGGGTAGCTTCATAATAATAAGCATTGAAAAAAAATAAGTCCCTCGTAACAAATATTAAAAAAAGTAAATTTTAAGAGTATATTCATAATAATAAATACTAAAAACTTAACCTCCAATAAAAAGTATTCAAAAAATTAGATACATAACAACAAATAAATATTAGAAAAAAAATTAAATTTTAAAAGTATGCCCATAATAAAAAATATTAAAACATTTGGACCCCTGATATTAAGTATTGAAAAAATTAAACTTTTAATAACAAATATTAGAAAAAAAATATTGGCAAAAAATTAAACCTTTAATAACAAATATTAGAAAAAAAATATTGGCAAAAAGTTAAACACTTATACAAATATTAGAAAAAATAAATTATAAAAATAGACCTCTAATAATAAATATTAAAAAATAATCCCATAATAATAAATATTAAGAAAAAGTTGAAACTATAGTAATAAATATTTTAAATAATTAGGGCCCCTATAGTACATTATGAAAATTCTGAGCTCTGGGCGAGTGCCCTTCATGCATAGGCCAAGATATGACACTATCAAATTGATTAATTATAAAATGTAGAAGATTTGATCTACAAATCTAAAATATGACTAAAATAAAAGATTTTAAAGTTAATACTCAAATTAAAACATTAGACAAATTAAAATAAAATCAAGATCAAATTAGATTAAATGAAAATCCAAAGAAACAAATCATATATAAATATTGACAAATGGGGAAAAAGACAAAGCAAAGTACCAACGCCGCAAATACATAACTTTATAAGGATCCGTGCCCAATCATACAAAATTCGGTTCTAACAAAATTGGCACCAACTATTCCAAACACAAAGAATCGCAGTTAAATGGCTGAATGGGGACAATTATAATAATAATACATAAAATGATATTTTTATGGAAACTACGCAACCCAGTTACATCTTACAATATTTGGAGGGTCTAAAACTGTCTCCACGTCAAGGTGTTGTCCAAGGCCAATTTAGCATCTTTCCACCTAAAATCCAAACCTCCGGCAGCTATACTGATTTGAATTCGCATCCATGCAGCTCCGCCTTGCTCAGGCCCCGCTCTGGTCTATACGTGCTTTTATCATGTTCTTCTTCAGCTACCCCTGCTGTTGCCATTTTCACTAAAGTAGTCTGTACTGTAATTTGACTGCCGAAAGCCATCCTCCGAAACCATCTGATTTCTTCGGATTGCTGTGCGGAGTTAAATACCTCGCTTTCACCCACTTTCATTCCGTTGGTCAGATCCGAGGTGGCCAAACTTTCAAATGCTCTCACAACCTGAGGAAAATAACTCACGTAAGAAAGGTGTCACGGTGACAACGACGCCAACTCCATATGGTTCTGATAAGCAGACTTGTTATATGGGAAACAAGACAAAAACGATGCTAAAAGAAACTTTTACTACCTGTCCCATCCGTGGTCGTTTTGCACCTGAATGCCGCACGCAAGCTGTGGCAGCCTCAATCATCCGAAACATTTCACTTTCAACGTAGTTTCCACCAAGCTTTGGATCCGCTAAACCGTCGAACTCCTCGCTATCCAGTGCATGACTCAGTAAAGGTCGGGCCTGAAGTATAAAGAGGAATTTCGTGAGCAAAGTTTCAGTTATTCCTTCAGCATCCATTCTCAGATGTCTTTCATATTTTCCTTGGTCTCAGGTCTGTCACATGCATGCATGTCTAGATACATCAATATTTTCCTTAAGGTGTTACTAGAGAAGTAACAACCATTTCCAAAATATAGTTTGATTCATAGAAATTGGAACATGACATTAATGATTGGTTAAATCAATAACTTACCCATTCAACTAGACTTTCATCGCCAAGAGGTTGAGATGCATCAACAGGCTTCCGTCCAGTAATTAGCTCCAAAAGCACAACTCCGAAAGAAAATACGTCAGACTTTTCAGTCAATTTACCACTTGATGCATATTCAGGGGCCATGTATCTGAACAACCAATGTAAATATCGTCGATATATGGTCGATAACTTATGAGCCTTCAGTGAAAAAAAACAAAACCTACCCAAAAGTTCCCATAACACGTGTTGTTACATGTGTATTTGCATCCAGAGCTAACTTGGCAAGTCCAAAGTCCGAAACCTGTAACATTGATTAGAAAATAGAAACCGGGAGACTCTCATTAAGGGAACAACAGTTGAATGTTGTTTGAGATGACACAGGGAATAGAGAACCATTCATTACCCGAGCTTCGAAGTTGTCGTCCAAAAGGATGTTTGACGACTTGATATCCCTATGAATAATACGAGGATCGCCTGAAGAGGGTAAATTTATTAAAATAATGAAGGATGGATGAATGATACTTTTTTCTAAACTATGCTTAAACAATATATCATCTACATAAAAGAAAAATAACAGCGGCAATGAATTTGCCACATGGTTAACTTCTAGCTTGGAAAAAGCTAAGGAATAATAGAAATCCTTCCCTTTTCCTTTTTCTTTTGGTCAAACTACTTGGTAGGTTCTGTACTATAGACTGGAGTAAATTGTTTCATATACCATAAAAATGAGCAATTTAATCCCTCTACATTAACTTTTAAAGCAAAGTAAAATTTAAAAAGGCGATAAACGTGAAGGTTAAAAAAAGCAAGCTTGTCATTTTGATATGGAAGAAGAAGAAAACCAAAAATCAACATTGTTTAAAACACGACAATGACTAAATTTGCTTTTAAGCCTATAGTACAGGAGTTGAATGCTTTCTTTCTGTGTGATAAAAACGTTTGGTCTCACTGTGTGTCATAAGTTCTGATTTGTGGCCAAACAAGCATAAAAACGTCAAGTTATCAGAATGCATTTCCTCGCAAAATTTTTTTCCTCGCAAAATTTTTGATAGATTTCACTAGGAAAACAGACATTAGTCGGTAAATGACGCAATTGTGCACAACTAAAACTTCCAGTTTTTATGCATTTTGGCAGGTTAGAGTATCGAAGTGTTTATTCCATGGCCACTGATATCCGGATTGCGATACTTACAGTCTTCATGGAGATAAGCTATCCCACGAGCTGCACCAGCTGCAATTTTAACACGCTTTGCCCAATCCAGAACAGGCATACCTTCTCCTGTCAAAATCCAGGTGTAACACATATCAGACTAGCAGTCCAATCCAGTGAGTCAATTCTTCAAATCAAAGCTCATTTATGGCCTTACTATGAAGATGGAAATAAAGGGTATTATTAGGGACATAATCATATATGAGAAGTCTCCGATTCTCAGAGATGCAGTAACCGACAAGTGAAACCAAATGGCGATGGTGTATACGACTAATAATTGCAACCTCCGCTTTAAATTCTCGTTCACCCTGTCCCCCACCGATCTTTAGCTGCTTTACAGCCACCTCTCTTCCATCTGGTAAGCACCCTTTATAAACAGCCCCAAATCCACCTTCACCCAAAAGATTATGGTCTGAAAAACCATTTGTAGCTTCAGTTAATTCTTCATATGTAAACAATGACTTCGAATTGCCTAAACCGCCAGGTTCTGCTATCATCGGTGGTGAATGCACATAATCACTTCCGGAACTAGTTCCAATAAGAGGAGCTGAAGACTGAGTCTTTGTATAGGATGAATCTATAAGCATATAACGTTGATCAAAACATGAGCTCCAGTTACATGTAAATCCAAAATTATCAACAATAACTTAAGCGAACTGAATAAACAAATATGCAGCAATAAGTAAAAGCTACCTGATCTTGGGGAAGAGCCTAGTGGGGATGGCATTACATAATCACCAGTAAGTCGAGTATGGCTATTTTTCCTCTGTTTCCTCAAGCACCACCATACAGTCAGCCCTATAAGGCCAAGCATTATGATACCTACAGCTACTCCTATAGCAACTGTACCTCCTACGCCAATGCCACCACTAGGGGAGCCTGAACTTTCTGGTGCACTTGGACCGGAAGCATTTACAGTTGGAGGCGGCGTCAAAACTCGAGATGGAGGAGGTGATGGTCTTGATATAGGTGCTGGTGGAGATAAGCCTGAAGTAGAATTCGAGGGATAAGGTGATGGTTGAGAACTGGGTGGTGTAAGCCTAGAGGGAGGAGGTGTTGGAGAAGGAGATATTGGAGATGGAGGGGGAGGGGGAGGGGAATTTGGTGGAGTTCGTGGTGGTGGTGGCGAATTTGGTGGTACTGCTGGTGGAGATGGTGGTGGCGAATTTGGTGGTACTGCTGGTGGAGATGGTGGTGGCGAATTTGGTGGTACTGCTGGTGGTGATGGCGGAGTTGAAAGGGGAGGTTGTGATGGCGGCGGTGAATTAATAGGTGGTGATGATGGAGGGGGCCGCGGCGGCGGTGGTGGTGAAGTAACAGGTGGTTGGGTAGTTGGTGCTGGTGGAGGCGAAGATGGAGGTGGTGAGGAATTTTGTGGTGGTGGAGGTGAAAATGGAGGTGGCGAGGAATTTTGTGGTGGTGGAGGTGGCGATGAATTTCGTGGTGGTGGTGGTGATGGCCTGGGTGCAGACGGTGGAGGACTGAGTGGTGGGATTGATTGTGGTGGTGGTGGAGCTGGCGGCGGTGGAGAGGTGGAACTGGGAGGAGGGGAAGTGGATGGAACAGCTGGAGGAGGAGGGGATGATACGGGGGCCACCGAAGGCGGAGGAGATGATGAGGGGAGTGGAGGTGGAGCGCTGGAAACATCTGGAGGTGGAGATTGAGGTTGAGAGGGTGTTGGATTAGAACTAGTCGGTGGAATAAGTGGTGGTGGACTGGTGGCAGAAGGTGGTGGCGACACCGCCGGAGGAGGAGAAGAAGATTGTGGGGGTGGTGATGGGGTTGCCATCAATTCAGTCACCAGAACAAATTGATGGAACACTAAGAATACCTATAAATTCACATATACCAGCATACACAATCTCATTAAAGAAAGAAAATTCCTCAAACGAAAACTTCACATGATTCATCCAAAACAATAATTCGAACAATTTGACGGCAATTAAGTTGAAAATCCCAAACCCCACAACTCTTATTCCAATCAACAAACTTCACCTAACAAACTACTCTTGCTTCAAAGCTCAGAAAACTCCCCATAACCAACCGTTGATGACATGGCTCCGCCACTTCTTAGTAGCTCAACTTATAAAACCCAGCTCAAAAATCACTTGAAAAATAAAACCCAGATCCCAAAATCCCAGGAAAAATACATCACAGCAATGCAGAGGAAATGCAAATCCCAAATCCCTAAACCCTTACCTCATCTATTTCTATTTCTATGAACAGCAGCTTACTGGGTCTCAATGTCGGTGGTGATAAATTTGTTCAAAGCTCGCCCATGACACAGGGACACGGATTGTGGGGTCACCAAGACAAATCGTAAGTTGGAAAACAAGACCAATACTATTGGTTATGCAATTTAGCTTTAACTATAAATATAATGGTTGATCATTAGCATGAAATTCAAATTTCATAAGAATTCTAGTATTAGTTTGATTGAGAAAATGATTACTGGGTCGATAAAGGGGAAGAAGATAGCTGGAAACGTAAAGTCACCGGGTGCACACACGTCTAGTAAAATTAAAAAAAAAAACTATGGACTTTTTGTTTTTTTTCTCGCTTAGGCAATTAGCAGGAAAATATTAAAAAATTGATTATTGTAATAATTACAAATTAGTAATCAAAGTTTTTATTAAAATAAGGGATGAAATGACGATCGATCCACATTTTCAAATGTTGATGTTGTCTAAACACACTCTCGTGGTATAAACTAATCCTTCATTCCCTGTAAATTTGTCGGCTTTGCCGTTTGGAGACCGCGTTTTGACAGTGATGCAATAATTAATTAATGTCCCCAATTTTATATACAATCATATAATTACAAAACAAATATAAATATGAATACTATAGTCTAGTATAGTTTCAAACATAATTTATTACTGTTAAATACAATTCAAAAAATAAATTAAATATTTATAAATAATAGATCTAAAAAAGAATAAAATATTAAAAATCCTTATGTTGTATTTAGAAAATTCAAACTTAAAATGTAAAACATTATTAAAAAACCATATTTGATATTATTTTTATAGATTAAGACGCGTGGGATTTGCCTGGTATCATTACGACGTCGACGAGTATATTGTATAAAATAACATAAAATATAATTTATAATTTGGCTTAGGTTTGCGCCTGAACGAATAATTTTTACTTTACGAATATTTGATCTAGATTGAGCTCATCTATGGATGTTTTAATATAAGGTTAATAAAAGACGTTATTAGAAATATTAATATTTTTTTAATATTTTCAGTAGAATACTATTTAAAATGTTATTTTTTTTACCAGAATATTAATAACGGACACTATCTAAAATATTATTTTTTTCTACCAAAAACGTTAATATCTGAAATATTCATTTTAGGTAACGAAATTAACATTTTTTGTAGAGCTCTATTTAAATTGTTAACAAATATTAATATTTTCGATAACGTATTTCTTTAACATTATATTAAATTATCGTACATCACCTCATCTAACTCAATTTATAATTTTAATATAATTATCTATTTATTTATTTCTAAAAATACAAAATAAAGCTTTTCAACCTTTGTGTGCTGCTACTTCAATTTATCCAGCTTGAATTGAATTGTTATTTTAGTAATTACATGATTCAACTTCATTTTTAGTCTTTTAAGATTAATAACTTTGTCTCCCTTTTCAATCATTAACTTGTACTATTGGTAATTTATGATTACCTAAATAATCCGTGAAAAAAATATAATTTCGGAATAAATCTAATATTTTGAAAAAAATGATTTTTTTTATTTAATGATATATAAGATTCCGTAAAAATAAAATAAAAATTAATGTGAGTATGATTTTTTACATTTACACCCGTCCATTATCCTGTAAATTTATATCTATCACTGTCCCGATTAGAGCGGGTACGGTACCAAATCCACGAAATTATATCCATCTATTATCTCTAGTCTAAACTTAAGAATTTTGTATCTAAATATAATTAAAAATCACCATAATGTGTTGACATCAATACATATGTCTAAGTAAATTTCATACTATTGTAAAAATTATTGATAAGTCCTTACTTCTTTTAATAAAATTAGCTGACTTTATTCTCATATGTAATGGGGTGAGGAGAGGTAAGGTAGTAGGCTGCTCCCAATGTCAGGTTGAGAGCAGCTTCCGTGGAAGACCTTCGGCAGTCAGAATTATGAATTGCCCGCCGTGGGACTCAATCCCACGACCACAAGATTAAGAGACTTGCGCTCTATCAACTGAGCTTGACGGGCAATTCTACTTCTTTTAATAAACTAGTACATAAAACATATTTATCTTTTTAATTTTAAAATTTATACTTATGAATAAATATAATATTCTGAAACTAATCAAATATTTCTTCTAGTTTACCGATTCACAAATATATTTTGCGAAAAATGATTAAATTAAATTATGTTATCGGTGTCAACTAGTTGATACATGATTAATTTTATTCTATTAAGAAAACTTCTATTGTATAAGGAGCTTGTCATTATATATGTCAATGAATGGCGAGGAGAGAAAGTGAGCAACTTGTGCTTTGGTTCTACAAAAAAAAATTAAATAAATATTTTTATTTAAAAAAAATACATAATCGAATCTAATCTCCTGCTTTGCTCTCTCAATCTTTAGGATCACATTTCTTTTAGGATTTTTTTTTTATTAATCACTGATATCTGATTCATTGACCGACTAATCTATATCGGGTACTACAGAGGCGAGGGCGGCTCTTCCAACCCAGTTTGTTCCATTCGCAAACGTCAGGATTTGAACCCCTGACCTTGCTTAAGGGACTTGATGCCTCATCCCACTAGACCAACTGATTGTTGGTTTTAGGATTTTTTTTTATGATTTCAACAACTCGAGAAACTACGCTCGGCCCGGTTTTCGACAATTCGATACCTTTAACGGCAACGATAACATTGTCGGGAAGAAGACCGTCATGTGAAGCTGCCGAAGAGGATCTGACATCAGGGACAAGCTGTTGGTCAAAGCAGCACATGGGCTGTAAAATTATTAGCAGCCGGCAGCTGCTTGAAAATAATAATAATAGGGGGTTAAATTTTTTATTATTTTATAATACGGATAATTATAAAATTGAGTCATTGAACTTTAGGGTATTTACAAAGTTTAGTCCCTAAGTTTCAACTATAAATACCCTAGCTCATTTAGCTTCAAAATCATCCCAAAATCTTCTAGTTCTCTCTCAAGTGTGTTGTGTAAACACCTGTAAATTTTCTCTTAGTAAAAGATCTGCAGCAGCCCGGAGACGTAAGCACAATTGGCTGAACTCCGTTATCAATTTCGGGTATTATTTTTCCGCTTTTATTTCGCATTCTCACTAATCTGGTTATAGAAAAATTACTCGTACTGGGTTTATTTCCTAACACAAGCATGCAATGGTAATCCAACAGACAAGACTTGAGTTAATGTATTAAAATATTAAGATTTTAGTAATATTGTTTGCTTTTTATTTTTTAACGTGCCATATACTCCTGTAGTATAAATATATATATTTATAATTTGACTGACGCGTTTTAAATATGTTATACATACATATATGAACAAAGATATATTCTTAAATTGACAAAGGTGGTAAATTCATGATGGTTATTCTTGGCAGCATACAGCTGATGGTAAATTCACAACTCGTTCGGCATATGAAGCTCTTGTTATCGAAGATACTGAAGCGGAAGCGATTAATCTTTCTTGAATTTGGAAATTACCCGTGATTGCTAAATGGAAATTCTTCATTTGGCTGGTTTGGAGAGATCGTGTTCTAACCAATGACAGATTGGCGTCATGGGGAGTAACAGGTTCCGCTGAATTTGTTGCTTGTGGATACCCAGTCGAAGATTTGAAGCATGTCTTAAGAGAATGTCCCATTGCTTGCAATATGTGGAATCGCTATATCGTGGGATCGAGGGGAGTTTACTCTTGGGATAATGATGTTCAGAGTTGGATATCGGAAAATTTGGATTTGTCTAGAAATAATCAGGAATCTATTACTCTCTTCGCTTGCATTCTTTGGAAACTTTGGACTGAAAGGTGTAGGAGAATCTTCGAGAAAGATGACTACACCTACGTTGAAGAAGCTCTTTGGCGTCGCATTGCTCTCGCATCAATGGAACACATTCAAACTTTCAAAAAACCTACTTGCAGTTCGCGTTGTGAGAAATTGGTGAAGTGGCATCCTCCTTTGCATGGAAGAGTCAAGCTCAACACGGATGGTGCTAGCCAAGGTAATCCGGGGATTGTGGGAGCAGGTGGTTTACTTCGAAGCGAAAGCGGGGAATGGATCGTGGGTTTTGCAGAACACCTAGGGGAATGCTCTAGTGTGACAGCGGAATTCTTCGCCTTGCGAACGGGTCTTATGATGGCTTGGAATTATGGATTTAACAATGTGTATTGTGAAGTTGATGCTACAGCTACTCTCCAACTAATTGAAATCGGCCATACTTGGATTCACCCACTGGGATCAGTGATAAAGGACATTAGGAGCATTCTTGCTCGCAATTGGTATGTGACACTTCACCACACGTGTCGGAAAGGAAACTTTTGTGCCCATGTCTTATCGAAAATGGGCTGTAGCCTCACTGAGGAACTTGTCATCTATGAGTCGCCTCCGAGAGAGGTTTACTCCTTCTTAGATGCCGACATGAGGGGTGTTATGTATCCTAAAGGGTTCACCATTGCCTAGTTCTTCTCCTTTCTCTTTGTAACAAAAAAAAATTGACAAAGGTGGTGAATGATCTAATTGACACAATATTGATGTTTTAAAATTAAATTTTAATATTTTAAATTTTAGAGACACATTTAGAATCTATATAATAGTTTGAAGATGTTGTGTGGAATTAACTATTTGCAATATTAAAATTATAATATAGTCGACCTTGTAGATTAACACATAACGGGACATTTGTTCATCTATTTTTCGGCCAATAGAGTTCTGTTTTCTTCAATTATATCAGTATGTATTACATAAATTATTCGAACAATCTAAATTAAAGGGATTTAACTCGAATTATAATTTAAAATTTACAAATTAATTGATATTTTAAACTAGGTCGAATTTTACTGAATTTAGTGGACCAAAGTAAACAGTGAAGGTAGAGCAAAAGTCT